GATCAGAGAAGAAATTTTGGAGAAAGCCCAAGGGTCATTGAGGCCCTAGCTGTGCCTGGAAAGGGCTCGAGTCGGTGGAAGCCATCAAGCTACCGACGCCTCATGGGGAGCGTAGGAAGTGGATCCGTAGAGAAAGACTTGGGAAAATGACATATTCTCACCATTTCTGTATTGTGTGTAGTTTATTCGGATTCATCCCTCATCTGGCCTGAGGGTGTTTAGAAACTTTGTATGTTTTTTTTTTTTATTTTGGTTTTTGGAGACAGGTTTCCACTGTGTAGCCCTGGCTCGCCCTGGAACTCACTCTGTAGACCAGGTTGGCCTCAAACTCACAGAGATCTGCCTGCCTCTGCTTCCTGAGTGCTGGGTTTAAAGGTGTGAGCCACCAATGCCCGGCGAAGCTTCATGGTTTTAAGGCCAAGAAGAAATTTTCCCTGGGGAAGGAAGGTACGGGTTTAACTTGTGCCAGGGCTTGCTGGCCCCCTCCCCTTTCCTCACGGACCCCACTTTTTCTTCAGGGTCTTGAAGAAGCAGACAAAGAGATCTCCCAGTGGAGCGATGGCTAGGAAAAAGCACCCGATAGCTATCTCAAAGTCCCCACCCCCCCAGTCTTATCCCTAGTATCTCAGAACCAGAGAGGCAACTGCCTCTCCCTACCATAATGCCCACTGAGTCTGCCCTGGCAGGGGGCTCAGACCGGAAGACCACCTACAGAAGGGTAATTTGTGGTAAATAAGAGTCTGGGTAACGATAGGCTGATGGATGTTTATTCGGGGAGAAATCATACCAGAAACAGATGACCACCATGGGTTCCCATTGCAAGGATGCCTGCGGATGCTCTCTGTCTCCAACCAGGAAGTAAGAAAGCAAGCTTGGGTCTGGGACCCAAGACCTGGTCCCCCCAGGTCACGCCCACACCTGTCCCCACGCCCCAGTGGGTGTGGTCAGTGCTACAGTGCAGACAGGGTGAATATCTCACTACAGAAGGGTCGACAGATTTTCAAAGTCCACTGTCCTCTATGAGGATATTGTGTCCACCCACCTCCCCTACCCTCAAGCTGGAACTCACTGGGTTGGGACAAGTCACATTATCACTGAGCCACACCCTGCCCCCGCAGTCACCACACTTTGGATTTTGTAGAAAGATCCTGGCCAACCAGCTCACCTTCCAGGGTCCCCTTTAACGCCCAAGGGGGCAGGTGCAGTGCAGTGGACCCTTCACCTTTGCTGGGCTCCCAATACAACCCTCCCGTCCCTCAGGGTGGAACTCTGGCTCAGTCCAGCCTCGGGAAAGAGCTCTGAGCTGGCTGTCTGGAGGTCCACGGTCTCACCGTGTACCCTCTCAAGTGCCTGTCCTCTCTGGGCCTCAGGAATTCTAGGTGGAGGATGTGACTCAGTCAGCGGAGCGCTTGTGCAGTGACACGCACACACACACACACACACACACACCCCGGCCAGCGCCACATAAACCAGCAAGGCGGTCATACCTGGGACCCCAGCACTTTGGAGGTGTTGGCAGGAAAATCAGAAGGCCATGGCCATCCTAACTGAGGCTATCTTAAGCTGCAGAAGACCCCCATCTCAAAAAAAAGAAAGACTCCATTTCCCAACTCTGGTGTCATGCTTTGCCAATTATATCTAGAAAATACTTAATTTATGGTATAGGATTGAAGTGAGGGTCTCATGTCCCCTGGGTACACACAGTATCCCTGAATCCGCCTTTCACCCTTAAATTGGATAATGACGTGCTCACCCATGTTTACATAACAGCTAGCACAACACATTTAGGACTTCTTGGGCGCTGTTGAAAAAGACAGGTCTCTCCCAGCACTCGGGAGGCAGAGGCAGGCAGATCTCTGTGAGTTCGAGAACAGCCTGGTCTACAAGAGCTAGTTCCAGGTCCGCCTCCAAAGCCACAGAGAAACCCTGGCTTAAAAACCAAAAGAACAGAACAGGTCTCAGCTGGTAGCACAAGCCTTTTCCCCAGCAGCACTTGGGAGGTAAGGGCAGGTGAATCTCGGAATTCTAGGCCAGCCTGGCGGACACAGTGAGTTCCAGGACAGTCAGGGCCACACGGAGAAGCTGCCTGGGTGGAGGGGGAGGAGGATAAAGGAAAAAAAAAAAAAAAGACGGGTCTCACTTTTAAGCATATTGCTGTATTCTATTTAAAGAAAACCACAGGCAGGAAGGGTAAAATCCTAGACACCTGCAATGCCAGCACTTGGGAGGCAGAGGAAGGTGCAGCTCAGCTGCAAGTCTGAAGCCAGCCCCGTCTGCGGAGGGAGTTCCAGGCCAGCCATTGCTTCATAGCTAGCTGCAGTCTCAAGACAAAGGGCTGGGGAGATGGCTCATCAGGTAAAAGGTTCCTGTCCCAACTCTGACCTGATGGCCTGAATTGAATCCCTCGCTGGGCCCTCTGGATCCCACGGGGAGGAAGGGGAGAATCAAGTCCCACTAGTTGTCCTCTGACCTCCACACAACGGTGGCATGTATAAACTCACATTTAAGCACAAAACAAAGACAATGACTACAGCAGCCTCAAAGGCCCTAGTGTGGGTAGAATGCGGTAGATGCCTGGTGGCAATGAGCCGGTGGCAAGTGGCAGCTTGGGCCACATGCGATCTTGTCTCAAAAGTGGGAGTGTGTGTGTATGAGTGTGAGCGCACGCGTGCGTGTACGCACACACGAGTTTGAGACAACTTCCTATAATCCCAGCACTTGGGAGGTAGAGGCAGGAAGATCACAGTTCAAGGTCACCCTCAGCTACCTGACAAGAGAGTTTTAGAACTTCAGTTTGCCTGGGCGGCTGCTAAGTTGTCTTTTCTTTCTTCCAGCGCTGGGGCTAGAACCCAGGGCCTTGAGGATGATGTTCAGCTGGTATTCTATTTTGTACTCCAGCCCTGTGCTTTCTATAACACTACTGGCCACATGCATGCATGGATCTAGAATGTTATCTCCTCTTTCCTATAGGGACACTAAGTTCCTTTTCCTATGGTGTCTTAAAACAGTTTTGTTGGGACAGTTCCATTAGGAAATAGGTCTGTGTTTAGGGAGATCGGTGTTATTTGTCCCCTTCTATCTCGACGAAACTCCCCAAAACTGACCCTGGGGCCCTACATGGGAGTTAGAAAGGCCCGACTGACCAGGGATCAGATGTGTGGAGAAGCCTGTAGGGGCTCTAGAGCGATCACCAGGCACCCTAGATTATCAGAGGACCCTCAGGACCCTCGGTAGAGATAGATGTTACCTGCTGGATAGATCAATCTCTGCCCAAGGGTCTCCAGGCCCCGGGGGAAGGGATGAGGAGGTAGGACAACAGAATGTACCAAGGCATTCTACTCGGAGAAGTCAAACAAGATAAGCCAGTCACAGATACATGCGACCGGCCCCTCTACAGGCAGTGACCCAAGCCCTCAGCCTCTGGTGGTGGTCATTGATGTTGTCATCAAGTTATGTCCATAAACAAAACTGGGCATCAGGATGTATTCACAGGCTTACACACACACTACATTCTACACACGGGACTGGAAAAACCTGGGCTCTAGGTGGGAAATCTGCACAGCCCCTCATCAGGTACTGAAGTCACCCCCACAGAGAGGGGCTACAGCACAGGCAGGGAGGGTCACCTGTGGTCAGGTCATTCCCGGGAGGGACCTATGCAAGTCACTGTCTCCTAACTGGAGGCACTGGGCTCCTAACTGGGCCTCCCCAGAGCCTGGTCTGCACCTCTGGCCTAAGGCCTACTCCAAGGCTGCCTTTGGACAGGTCTGACAGGTCTGGCTGGTAGACACTTCCGGAGCTCAATTCCCCAGGGATTGCAGCTGCTGAGCCCTGTCACCAAGCCAGGCCTCCTCTAAAGGCATCTTACTGCCCTGACCTTTCTGGGCCCAGACCAGTGCGGTTATGTATGCAAAGGAGAGTACCCTGGCCCAGCCCAAGCCGACAGCTCTGCCTCCTTACAAAGCCCTACTGAGGCTCAGATGGCATTGTCAAGGAATGGGTTAATCCAGAGGGAAAACTGTTCCATCGGCAGAGCCAGCCTCTCAGCTGGCTTTCTGCCTGCAGGCTGACTGGCCCTCCTGGAAGGAAGCCCAATGTGCTGTCCCTGCCTCTCAGCACAGCCTCTGTCCATGCTACCCTGCAGTGCCCCACCCCACCAAGGAGACCACACTTAAAAATAGAGTGTCTTTATTGGTACCTGTCAGCTCAGGTACAATGTGTTCCCACAAGCACACACGCTGGCAAAGCCGCCTGGGCAAGGAGGCAGGGCCCAGAGCCTGTGTTTCTTGGCACACATACACACACAAAGAAATGAATAAATTATAGTTCTGACACTTAGAGACAATATAAAAATGCATACAAAATCCAACATCAGCTAATGAAGGGCATAAGAGCCCTCAAGAGCCACCCCTTACCAGCTGGCCTAGGGGCAGGCGGTGGGCTAGGATGGAGTTCAGTGCCCAGAAAGCCCTGAGACAGTGACCTGGGTGCGCTTCCTATCCTGAGGCAGGCCCATTGCCCTTCTCAGGGCCTCAGGCTTCCCGTCCTACAGGAGGGGCTCCTTAACCCATGGCCTCGGGGAAAGGGAAGCAGGCAGAGGACAAGTCAGTGTCCAGGGAGGGTAAAAACAAAAAGGGTTTTTGGTCAAGGCTGGTGAGGCAAAGCCTCAGCTCAGGAGCCAGGCAGCAGACGGTAGGTCATAGGCTCAAACCCACATGGTCCATACCAAATCCCAGGCGGGCAGGGTACACTGAACCCCAACATCGCCCACCTGCCAGGGAGGTTCAAGTACTGATGCCACAGGCCCCAAATAAGTTACAGAAATAAATTACATCTTCACAGTCCAGAAGATCTAGCCCCATGGCTGGCAGGAAGCCAGAAGCCCCTGTTTTCAGCCCCGCGTCCGCTGTCCTTGGACCAAGGAGCACATTACAGTGGAAAAGGGAATCTGTGTGGCCCCAGGAGAGCCCCGCCCCTCTTACCCCCCCCCCACTGGGAGGTAGAGACCTCTTGTTTGGATATAGAGACCAGGGATTGAAAGAGGGACGTCCCTCCCTACCCTCTCTACAGTTCACAATAAAGAATAAAAAAGAATAAAAAAATAAATAAAATTCCGAGTGTTAATGTAAAAATAAGGGCGCATTTAGCACCCATGGCCAGGCCCAGCCCACGGGAGACCGTTACACACAGAGACCTCAGGGAAATGGCATCGCAGTTCTTATACAGGCACCGGCTCCATCAAAGGCGCCAAGGCAGCGTCCTCAAACTGGCTCTCCAGAAGGGGTGCCAGGACATCCGTGACAGGCTCTGACAGGCCCACGAGAGACTCCAGGAAGCAAGTGCTGGCATCCCTTGGTGGAGAGCTGGGCAAAGGGTGGAGGGCCTCACGGCTGTCCAAGCTGCCAGATGCCCTGCGGGAAGAATAGTGAGGCCCCAGGCTGTAATCTGGCAGAGCCTGGAGCAACTCAAAGGAGTCACAGGAGGATAAACTCAGGTCCACAGAGCCACCCTGCACGGCCTCCACCCCAGGGGACCCGGAACTGCCAGGGAGGCTGCCTCCTCTCAAGCCCTCAAGTCCGCTGTTTAGGAAGCAGCTGGCATCCAGGTTGGCATTCTCATCTAGGATGCCCGATGCGAGGCTAAAGCAGGGCTGGCTGTGAGTCCAGCTGGCCAGGCCGCTGGGGTCACCGGTACCAAAGATGTCAGCCAGATGGAAACAGCTGAGGTTATCCAAGTTGCCCACACCCCTTTCCTCATCCTCCTCGTCCTCCTCAACACCGAGGTCAGAGTCACTGAAATTCAGGATCTGTGCCAGGCTGTCTTCATCCACGCCAGACTGGAAGCTGGGACCCGGCAGGCTGGGGTGGGCAGGGTGATCCGCAGGCTCGCTATTGCCGGAGGACGAGGACGAGGAATCGGTCATGTCGCTGCTACAGCTGTTCTCTCCCAGCTCACTGCTCACAGGGGGCTTGGCCATCGGAAAAGGGGCAACCAGGGTTTGCTCAACGGGACCGTCCTGGACGGGAGACTCTGTGTCCCCCAGGCTCTCAGCACCCTGCTCCATCTGCAGGCGTGTGAGTGTATGGATGAAGTGCGTCTGCACTCTCGCCTGGTTGAATTCCACGCGGCCATTAGGGTTCTCACAGCCTTCACTGCAGCAGCCACAGGGGAATGACGTGTGGTCCATCTGCAGGAAAAAAACATGCACAGGGTAAGGACATTGTGGGTGCGAGAAGCCTGAACGCTCACTCCCCACCCCACCAGATCCTGCAGATTTTGTTTTTGTTTTTTTTTTTTGTTGTTGTTTGCTTTCGAGACAGGGCTTCTCTGTGCAGCCCTGGCTGTCCAGGAACTCACTCTGTAGACCAGGCTGTGGCCTACAGCGTTCTGCCCGTCAGCCTCTCTCTGCCTCTGTCTCCTCAGTGCTGGGTTTAATGAAAGGCGTGCATGAACCGCCAGTGCCTGGCTTGTTTTCTGGAGAAAGGATCTCACTGTGTTATGTAGCCTTGGCTGGACCTGACTTTATTTATAGAGACTGGCCTGCCTCTGCCTCCCACAGTGCTGGGATTAAAAGCTCATGCCACCACATCTGGAAGACTTTTTTCTCTTTTTGAAGCTTTGGTAGTGGAGCTAGGGATTGAACCCAGGGACCTTAAACATAATAAAAGGCCCAGCCCCTTACCCTCCCCAGTCCAGCTGCATACCTGGCACTTGATGCCAGCCAGGCTGCAACTGCAGGTCTCGGGGTCACAGACTCCATCACAGCGGCAGCCACAGTCCTCCCGAGAGCGGCGCAGCACCTGAAGCCCCCTCTTCTCCTCTCGGTCGATCCTCCGGACACCTGACGCTCGAAGCAGGGCCCGCCGCTGCCGAGGTGGGTGGGGCTGCAGGAAATTCACTTCCTCCAAGCGGCCATCCGCTATAGCCAGTGCCAAGTCGTCCTCTACTGATGCATCATCGATGGCATCCACCGTGAGGGCCAAGCCTGTCCCTGCCTCTGGAACTCCAGCCGTGGAAAGCTACATGTACAGGAAGGGTGTGTCACCAGAGATATCCCACAGATCTATCACCCATGCCATCCTAGGTCAGACACAAAACCCCTGCTCTAACTAGATACATGTACCGGCAATGTCAGGTCAGTTCCTAACCCCGGTGAGTCTAGAAAGATTCAAGCAGGGGTACACCAGGCCTGACCCTTGTCTGAAACTGCCTATGGGGTCTTGGCCTATGATCTGCTACGTAGCTGAAGGTGGCCTTGATTGAACTTCCCCTGCTCCCACTCCCGAGTGCCGGTAAGAGATGCCAGGGCCACCTGAGCTCCCGCCTTCCCGGAACCTCTCTGTATCCCCTCCCCTGACACCAACCACACGTAACATGCAAAGCGGCTCCATGGATCTCCATACCTTCCACCTCAGCGTCTCCAGTTTCTCCTCCTTCAGGCGCTGCCGGAGCTTCTCCCGCCGAGCACGGACCTGCTCCTGTGTAAACTCAGCTAAGGAGAAAAGCCGGCAGGCGCTGTGCCGGGGAGCCATGCCCAGGGTGCAGCCACCACGACTGGGCACACTGGTGAATCCCTGGCACCTCGGGAAATAGTAGACAGTGATGCCGTCAAAGGTCACACGGCCCGGACGCTCCCGAGGAGCACGCTTCAGGATGGATGGGGCTGAAATGACAAGGAACGGGCAGGGAGTGAGGTCTCGGCAGTGCGGTGTAATTTCTAGGAAGATGCTTACCCATCCACCGCTGATGGCCACACCCAAGCCAACGTTGGCTTATTGTCATTCATCAACCCAAAGGACTGCATTAGAAAGTCAAGCACCTTGCTGCCATTACCAAGTATTTACAGATCTTTTGTACACTTTTCTGTAATTTATGTTCCTTTGCTAAGTGTTCTTTACATGTAACATAGACAGCAATTCTCTGTTTAAATGTATCAAGGCACAGCACCAGGTAAGAGCATTGATACCCACATCAAGGTTGCTCACAGCCTAACTCCAGTTCCAGCGGACCCAACGCCCCCTTCTGGCCTCCTCAGGCACAGCATGCACGTGGTACACAGGCAAAACACACACACACTGATGTCTTCCTTCACAGTTTTAAGTGTTCTGGAACAGACTTAGGAAGTCCTGCCCCTTATAAATTATTGACTACATATTGAGAACAAGTTGTAGGAGTTGGTTGTCCTACAACATGTGTGCTCCAGGGTTCGAACTCAAATCTTCAGGCGTAGTGACGAGCACCTCCACTCGCTGAGCCACCTCACTGGTCCTACTGTCTGGGTCTTTGCTTTTTTTTTTTTTTTTTTTTTTTTTAACCTACTCGTCTTTAAAAAGAGCATGTGTGAGTCCGTGCCCTGCAAGCAGGTGCCCTTGAAGTTCAGAAGGCGCCAGACCCTTAGTGTGAGAGTCACAGGTGGTTGTGAGCCAAGTCGGCTCCTCGGGAAGAGTAATGGATGCCATCTTCCCAGCCCTGGTTTGTTTGCTGGCCTAGAACCTGATACGTAGACCAGGTTGGCTTTGGACTCAAGAGATCCACGAGGCTTTGCCTCTCAAGTCCTGGAATTAAAGCTATCTACCATCATATCTGATTTAAAAGCAAGACAGGCCTCATGTACCTCTGTGTCTAGTTCCCTAAACTTCCTGCCTCTACCTCCCCAATCCTGGAATTACAGGTGTTTGCCACTATGGCCCAGTGACTTCAAGTTAATATAATTTTGTTGCATCCAACTACCTGAAGAAATTTTCTAAATTAAAAAAATCATACTCTTGTGTGTGTGTGTGTGGGGGGGGTTGTACACATGTATGTGTGTGTGTGTTAACACACAGGTATGTATATACATAAGCAGAATAGCTCTGGTGTCAAAACTTCATAGGGAGACCTAACCCTGTGTAAAAGCATTCCCTTGTCAGGAGGTGGTGGTGCACACCTTTATTCCCAGTACTGGGGAGGCAGAGGCAGGAGGATCTCTGAATTTGAGACCAGCCAGGTCTACACAGAGAGTTCAGGGGCAGCCAAGGCTGTTACACAGAGAAATCCTATCTTGAAAAACAAAAACCAACCATTCCCTTTGTAGGGGAAAACTGTCTAAGGAGAGGGAGAGAGGGAGAGAAAGAGTTAACCATAAATGAAGAGGCCATGAAGTTGAAAGAGGACAAGGAGTATATGGGAGGATTTGGAGGGAGAAAAGGATAGGAGAAATGATATAATCTCAAAAATTAAAAGAAATATTTTTTAAAGGGGCCCCCTTTAAAATCAAGTTTGAGAGAGAGCCAAGAACTCGGCCATGGTGGGACACATCCGTACCCCCATACCAGGAAGGCAGATGCCACATAGTTGGAGGACAACCTGGGCTATGTGAGACTCCGTCCTCAAGATTTAAAAAAAAAAAAAGAGAAGAAAACTAATCAGGAAAAACCCCTTTGGGGTTTGGAGACATTCAGGGAAAAAGCTAAAAAGCCATGAAACAAAAGGTGTGTGTGTGTGTGTGTGTGTGTGTGTGTGTGTGTGTGTGAGGTGTGGGGGCAGCTCCTGCGAGGGCGGGTGCTCTGGGGATGCAGAGATACTACAGAAAGAAGCAGCCCCTTGGGAAGGCCTCAGAGCCCCAAGGGAGCAAATCTTAACAGCAAGACTCCCAAGGTCAAAGGTGTCAAGGCTGGCCCAGGTGTCCCTGAATAGTGCACAGTAAAAGACTTCACAGCAAGAGGCACCCCAAGGCCACAAAGGCCAATTTCACCTGTAGAGAAAGGGGGGGGGGTCCCCGGGACACAAGACTTACGAGTGAAACTTCGGAAGCCACAGGAGTCCTGGTCAGGCTGGGGTGCCTGACCACACGGTCCCTCCTCATCTGAGTTCCAGGCAGGGAAGACAGAAGAACCGGGGGATGAGGAAAGAGAGAGACTGCCAGAGGACGAGGAGGAGCTGAGGAAGTCTTCCTCCAGCTGGTCAAACTTTCTCTTCAGTAGCCCAGCCATGGTAGTATGGAAAGGGGCTGACAGATGGCCTGGAATGAGAGTACGAGAATGCTAAGCGGCAGGCTCCTGTCTAACCACGTTTTCCCCATCCTGGCTCACCTTCCATGGTACCATGGTATCCCCCTAACTCCATCTGGGCCCTCCAGCCCTGCCAGAAGCTGAGGTTCATGTTAGGATGTCCAGGGGGGCCCTCAGAACCAAACAGCACAACACCAACCCTCCATCCCAGAGCCTTTGACCTCCCAAGACCTGGCCTCTGACAACAAGCCTTCTCAGGAAAACAGCCAGGTACCTTTCCCCACCGCCACACACACACACACACACACACACACACACACACACACACACGCACACAGAGAGAGAGGGGGGGGGCGGGCATGCACGCACCAGCAGGCCCAGAAGGCAGATAGACCAACAGATGGACCGACACACAACTCAGTCTACCCTGGCTCATCCTCCAGGAACCCTGGGGCTGACTCACAGGTCTGTCTTTGTACGCTCGCACGTGCAGGGCTTCTGCAGCTGCTGTCTGCACAGCCTGCCTCTATGGGCAGCAACCCTCCACCGCACAGGCCTGCCACCTTGCAGCCTTGGGTCCCCACTCCTGGGCCAGGCTGACCAGGCACTGGTTTTGACATTGGCCCCATTCCTGGCAGAAGGACTTCCCCAAGCCCCTCCCCTCCCTGGGACGGAGCTTCTCAGAGTTTCCCTCAGAAATCCCCGTGCCCCAGGAGAAAAGTCCCCTGCTCTAGGCTGGACTGCAGGCAGGGCACTTTGATCTTAAAATTCACCTTCTACTCCATAGTTAATTTTCCTTAAAACAAAGGCAACCCTCTAACAGTGAGAGGGCCTGAAAAGCTGCTACCCCAAGCCTCTGTTACTTGTTTGAGACTTCTCTAGACCTCTGGTAGGGTCCAATCACTCACCAGCCAGGCTTGGAGAGGTGAAAACTCCTTCCCCAAACCCCAGAGCTTGGACCAGCATCAGTCCCTCCAGGATTTGGAGACCAGAGGACTCAGGGATGCTGGATTAAGCCAGCTACCTACTGTGCGACTGTCTAGCTTGAGTGCTGCAGAACTCACTCCTTCAGGGCTGAATGCCCACAGCTGGGGACCCCGCCCCCTCCCCATCACAGGAAGCGAAAGGGGCGGGGACACTATCTGCAGTCTTCTCCACTAAGGTGCCCTCCTGATGGTCCCTTCTCCTATCCCCAGCCTTCTGGCGAGTTCCTGACTCTGAGGGCACCAGCTGTCAGCCCACTCAGTGGTTAAAAGTACTCATGGAGACAGCAGGAACGGCAGGACCAGGCCAAGCCCACACCCCGGGGCTGGGGGAAAGGATGACAGGTGTTTCCGGGGCAGTTTCTCAGACTCCGTTAACCCCCTTCCCAGAGTCAAACCACAAACACAAACAGCCCCGTTGACCTGTGGGCTCTCCCAGGAGATGTTTGGTCAGGAGGCAGGCACCCTGCCCACAGACACACTCATACACACTAGTTGACAGGCAGGCCCTAAACACCCTGTCACAGCCACCACTAGAGTCTAAAGCGTGGGGATGGGGGGGGAGACATGGACACAACACAGGACAGAGCGACAGACAGACACACACACCATCCTTTTCTCTAATTCCAGCTGATGCCCATAAGACAAGACACGCACGCCTGAGACCAAAGGGCCCAGGGCCCACTTACGCTGCAAATACCTAACTGCACAGGCCCCAAGTTGAACCCTGTCTCTGCTCCCCACCCCCACGCCATCTGGTCCTGCTCCTGCTCCCTGTCTTAGTAACAGCACTGCCACCCCCCCCCCCAGTTGCTCAAGCCAGAAACCTGCAGCCATCCCCAACTCCTCCCCTTGCACCCACATCCAGGCCCGGCACAGATTCTGGAGGTTTCCTGCTGGATAACCAGTGCCAGAATTCGCTGCCTGCCTTTGGACCCTGGCTTGGCTCCTGGCTGGGTGATTCCTCAACATAACTGCCTCCAACTGTCCCAGGCCCCCAGAGGCTGGGTAGGGTGGTGCACACCTGATGTCCTAGCACGCGGGAGCCCAAGGCAAAAGAGGAGCCCAAGGTCATCCTTGGCTATGGGAGACTTGTTTCTCAAAATAAAGGAACCTCTAGGGCTGGGGGTTACAGGAACCAATACATATCAAGCTCTCCCTGGGTGATGTGTGCTCACTGAGTGTGCAAAAAAGACAACAAGCTCTAGGGCTCTCCAGACTAGACACAGATGTAAGCATCAGGAAAGGCAGACCAAGACTAACAGAAGGTAGAGCCAATCGGTGGGGACGACGATTGTCTCTGCCCTCTCCACCTAGGCTAGAGAACCCAGTGGGAGGGCGGGTGTGTACTGGGGACAGTTGTGAAGGCTGCTGGGGGAGGGTTAGGGTGGCGGTTCAAGGTTTAAAAATTCCTCTAGCTAGATATACTTTTGTGATTACACACACACACACACACACACACACACACACACGTATACATATATATATATTCTATGTAGGTCACTATCAGTCAACCTTTGGGCTAATGGTCTAGCTCCCTGTTGAAGCGCTTGCAGGAAGCCCTGAGTTAGCGTTCTCAGCACACGCCAGCAGAGTTTATCGCCTGTTCCAGGTCTCAGCCCCCACCTGCTCCCCTCCAGAATGACAGAGCAAAAACACCACCTTGCAGACCCCATGCTGAGCAACACTCTTTGTAGCTCCCCGCTCCTGTAGCTCCCCGCTCCGGCAGGTCTCTGCCACCCTCTTACATCCTTCCAGAAGTCATAGCTTGAATCTATAAAGTGTCGGATAAGGCAGAATTGCCTGGAGTTTCAGGCCAACCTGATTTAGAGTAAAACCCCTCCCCCGAAAAGGCATCTTGAATTGAACTTCAAAAGCTCCCAACCTCTGCCTTTTTGGGGGTACTGCAATGCACACAGAACACTTTCCAACAAAAATATTCCTTAGCTGCAGATTAACCCCCAGTGCAATGAATGACCTGGGAAGCCAGAGCTTTGGGAAATAATCTTCAGTGAGAAAGGGTCTCATGTAACCTAGGGCGGCCTCAATCCCTGATCCTAAATCTACCTCCCAAGTGCTGGGATGACAAACTATGCTGCCTTATCATCTGTGCCTCTGAGGGCCAGGGGCATAGTCTGGCATGCTTCAAACCCTGGGTTCGATTCCTTAAAGAGATGTGAATGGCCAGAGAGATGTCCTGAATTCCCAGCACCCACACCGTGGCTCACAATCATCTGTGACTCCAGTTCCAGGAGGATCTGACACCTTCTGGCTCTCAAAGACACACAGACCTACATTCATACACACAAAATAAAAATAAATCATTTGTAAGGAAAAGGGGGATGAGGACCTGGCCCTCTACCACAGGGAAGCAGCAAGATAGTGCCCGGACTACAGAATAGGAAGGGGCCTTCACCAGGTTGGGGCCTTGATTTTGGATGCTCCAAAAACAGAAAAATGTCTTTCGTTTAAGCGGCCCAGACCAGCTGAAATGGCTCTCAGGGACTCTGGATTTTCCTCAGGACTCCCCTTATCTAACCACAATGTAACGGCCTCCCTCGTACCAAGCTAGGCTACCTCTGCCCAGACAGAGTAAGTCTGGTCCCAAATAAGTGGTCAGGATGGCCCCACAGAGACGGTCCTTTGGCCTAGAGGGTCTCAGTGTGACTTTTCCTGCTCCTGTAAGCTAATGTAAGGAGGGGGGGTGCATGCCCATCCCCTGCCTAGGTCAGAACTCTGTTCAAAGGTGGCTTTGAGGATGGGAGAGGGAAACAAGCTCACTCAGGCTGCAGGCAAGTATGAGATGGCATCTCAGAGGCTCCCGTTGTTGCCCAAGAGTAAACAGACAGATGTCAGGGAGGGAGGTGCAGACTGAACAGGGATCCAGTCAAGTGTATCCAGATAAGGACTAAGGCCAAAGAGTGCTCACATCCAAAGCTGTTAACATCCTGGAAAGGCTAGGCTGTGATCCAGGCACCCGCGCTGAGGTCTGAGGGGCCACCTGGGGGGTTCAGAGGCGGACTGAGAGAAGTCAGGGAGAGGAAGACTACCCCACAGACCAGCATAGGCCAAGTCAGAAAAGGGAATGAAAGATCGCTAGAGTCCAAGTGCCAGACAGTGAGTCAGGGGTGGGGGAGGGGCCGCAGCAGTTACTCGGGAATCAAGATCCTGCTCCCTGCTCCCGGGGTGTGCTCGGTCCTAGGGACCTGGAGGAAGGGAAAGCCATTCCCGGGAGCTGGCTCAGACAGAGACACCACACTCCCTGAGCGGCGCAGACAGGCCCCGGAATCAAAGGGAGCCAGGCTCCTTCCGGGATGGTAGCAGCCTGAGAATCTGGGGCCTCCTCCTTCCTGCCAACCACACACAGGCACTGACAGCCCAGGGAACGGAATGTCACCCCAGTCTAGTGACCACAGCTATCTAGCACTCTGAATCCAGGAAAGGTCATTGCTCGCCGGCAACCGAGGGGCAGCTGTGGGAAGTCTCTGCACACCAGTGTGCCCCAGCCCCCAGCCAGGGCCGGTGCAAGGGAGGGGGCACCTCTGGCTGCCTCGATCCCCCCTTTCCTGGAATCCCAAGAATGTGTCCTTTGACCTCAGAGCCCCAGGTCTTGATCAGTCACGCCCCTTCCCACAACACCTTGGGTCAAAGGACCCCCGACCCTCTTGAAGGACTTCCTGGAAATATGGGGGAAAAAAATCACCTCCGAGCCGTTCTGGACCTCACGGAAAGTGCAGGGCCGCTCAAGAAGACGGCAGACAGGAAGCGCTGACATGCCCCTCCCCCACCGGTGCCTCGGAAAGTGATCAGTGGGGGGCGGGGAGGGGACAGTTCTTTCGATTCAGCCTCTAGGGCCCTGCTCTGGGTAAATGCCAAATGTTTGCTGGCTACGTGAAATACTTGGTTCTTCTCCCCAGGGGAAACTGCACCTGACACATCCATCCATCCATCCATCCATCCATTCATTCATTCATTCATTCTTAATCAAATTCTTGCCAAGCTTCCAAAAAATCCCATGCA